TCAATGACAAGCTCCATTTAAACTGGGATTTGTAGTCTTGGCACAGGAGTAACTAGTGAAGCTATTTTTTTGGCCCATTTTATAGGGAGGTCATACTTGGTGACCATAACTATTTCTAATGATCTTAAAAGCCAAGAATCCATCAAAGTACTATTAAATAAGAACACGAATTTGCAATTATTTAACAAGCAAAACATAAGACTATTGTGGACAAGTTCCAAGTGTCTGTTACAAGAAGATGGATGGTCTGAGCATCCTGCTGGTGACAGTGCAATATCACCCATGCATCTTGCCCTTGTGGGAATTGCCCAGTAACTCATTGCTACACTTCAAATGCCGCAACTGTTGCAATGGGCCTTTTTGTTTATCTGTTGTCAGATTTTAAAGCATCCATTCTGGACTAGAAAGGGCACAAGAGATTCAGTGAAGCACCAAACTGCAATAGCGTCATGTGATTTGCTATCCAAAGCACATCTATTTGCTCTGTTTAATTGAGCAAGACGATAGAGCTAAGCACATTTTGCTTGGCTGTCAGAAAAAGAGTTCTTGGCAACAAGAACTGGCCAAGGAAACACTTTGGTTGTGTACTAAGCAGAACTGAAACTCTCCAGGAGCATCAGTTAATCCTGTTGCTATTGCTGAAAACTTTATAGTGCAAATTTCAAAATACAGTGTAACAGGGGTGTTTATTCATTTTACAGACCAAGCAAGCATATGCAGGGGGGCCTGACTGGGGTGGCACACCAGAGAGTGGTACAGTCAATGAAAAATGCAGTTTTACATCAAATACTTTTTCAAACTGAAATCAAATCCTGGGCATAGTGTTGCTCAAAAGAAATATAGGAAATATTTTGAAAAATTTGAAGGGTTTATTTTTATATTTTCAAAACAAAATATTTTACTTTTTTTAAACCTATAGTTTATATAGTCTGCTTTTAAATTGACAAAAAAAATCTTAAAAAGAAAGAATGCAAGAAAACGCATGTGGAAAAGTGTGTAAAAAACTGGGAAAAAAAGATCTGTAAATCAGTAAGCTGATTAGTCTGAAAAAATGTATTTCAGTCTAGAAACATTTCTACTTGTTACTTTTTGCTCAGCAAATGTTTTTTAAATCTTGGATGAACCTGAAAACACATCTTGAATTTCTGCTGTGGTCAATGACCTTCCTTAGCCCTCTCCTCTCACACCAAACCAATCAGAACAACTCTTCACGTGTCTACACCTGACAACAGTTCTATCAACAGCCTTCACAGTGCTCATCCCAGTAGCGTCTAATATAATGTTTTAAGAGACTCTCTGCCATTAACCACAAGGAAACCAAGCCCTGACCTTCAGTCAGTTGGCATTTGTTACTTTGCACCAGTTGGATGTGGCAGAAGAGCAGCACACTGTGTGAAACCACATCGTATACTGGTTTCTTTAAGAGCATCTTATGTGAAATGAAGAATACAAAAACAACAGCCGTTTACTTACCATTTATCACAAAAAAACACTTCTGTACTGCTGTAAATACTTCATCATGTACACTTTTATCATGCAAATAATACTCAAAGCCTGATCTGTATCTGGAGTTCAACATCTTTATGTAATTTAAGCAGAGTTTTTCATATAACTTCACGTTAGCTTTTCTTTTTTTTTTTGTAGTGCAGGTTTTATAGAGATGCTCTGTCAGAAATAAAACACGATTTGCCATGTATTCTAGCAAAAGAACAAAAAGAACCAGGCTGTTTATGAATCATAACTTCTAAAGTTTTTTTCACATTTCACGTGAATACCATGACATATCCATGGGCTTTCTATATTCTTAACACAGACCTGCACAATTCAACCTACATTCCATAGCTCTTCTTTACAAGAAATATGATTTAGGTTTCTCTGGCGTTAGTTCAGCCTGAAACTCAACTGAGAGCTGTTCAGAATTCCTGCAACTTCTGCTGCTGAGAAATGAACTGTTAATTTGCAACCTTTCTTACTAAATTAGAGGGAGATAAGGTCAAAGGATCCAGACAATGAGAGAACTGAATCAATTTCGAATGTACGCAAAGGTAAGAGTGCTTACAAGGGCAGAACAGATGATGACTTTTATCAGTTAATGGTAACAAATTTATCACCAGATTCCAGCCTATGCTGTTAAAGAGACTCATTAAGTGTTTTGCAGCTCGCAGGGGCAAAGTGTAATGAGAGTTAGAGAACCTTCCCTTTTCCTTGCAGGAGGCACTGGCCCAGTCCTACCCCTCTGTGTAGGAAAGGAATGAATACATTCAAACGAAGCTCACTCCACCACTCTGGACCTTCAAGATTCAGACAGAGAGTCTTAGGATACTGAGAGACTCTAGGCCAGCCTGCCCACCTTCCACTGAGCAGAGCTGCAAGGGGAAGAAGAATCTAATCCCTTTGTCTCCAGAGCCTGTTGCATGAGCAAGTCAGAACTTTAATGCTCCTGTGAGCAGGCACAATGTATTCGTTGGGTTGGAGGCCCAGACAACAAAGTCCTACATTTTTTGACAAACTGAAGATGAAAGAAAATTTAGGACCAAAGTGCTTTGCTTCGTGTGTGTGGCATTACTCAAAACCGCAAGTGGAATAAGGAAGTATTTTCTCCTCCCAAAACCTACTTTAGAAAGATGTTTCTGATGGTGAAGAAAAGCCCTTCTTTAATCATCCTTGTGTCGGTCTCATTAACAGAGCACATCCTATCTTAGAAAGAGGACATAGCATGCAGAATCTCCAAACATAGGTGAAAGAAGGTTTAAGTCCTCATGCCTGTAGCCCTTTACACCATTTCCCCACAATACACACAATGCTTGCAGTCCTCCTTGATAAAACCACTAACTGCCAGACCAAGGTTGTTGGGCTCTCAGAAGCAGAAACTCCATCCCTTATCGTGTGTTCTATTTCAAGTGTGAATTTCACTATTAACCTCTGGGGGGAGTTCAGGCAGGCGATACTGCAGCCATCCTGCTGCAGTTTCTTTGTTTCCTCTTGTGCAAAAAATGTATTTTTCCTGTGACTAGGATCCTGAGATCAACATAACCGTTCTGTAGATATCTCCCTAATAGGACACCGTGCCATTTAAGACACCAACCTCTGCATTCTCTTACAAAAGCAAATCTCTTGGTTTTGAATTGTATGAAGGGCATCATTTAGCTCATAATGAGGAGAGTGGGGTCTGGTCTGAGGGGAAAGCACAGCCTCGTATGTGATCTTACATGTTAGCAAACTGTGGTCTCAGAGAGTTTTACAACATTCAATAAATTAACCTTACAGCATGCAGTAATGAAGCTGTGCTCTGTGCTCATGACTGGGGAAACAGCCTCTGAGAGCCAAATTTATTGTCTCAGTTACACCTCTGCAACTCTGCAGACTTCCACACCATATGCAGATAACGACAGACTGTAGCTGACAAAGATTACTTGATTTTCCATGGTTATCAGACAGTCACTAAATGAGCCAGCACTGAAAATCAGGATCCTGGTGCTCTTACCACTAGAATAAATATAAATTATGACAACTAAGTACTTGAATAAAGATGTATTATGGTAATATTCTTAGGTCATTAAAAGTCATGATCATATGTTGTTATGTGGCAGTTAAATCACTCACTAAAAGGCAAGGTTCATATTGTTTCAGAGATGCAAAATGACTGAATAGTTTTCCACAGACAAGGAGAAAACAGATCAGCAATTTTTCACATTATACTTCACAGAGCTAATTACTGATGATGGATGTTCTTCTCTTCTTGAACTTATTTGCCCTGGAAACTGTCAGCAGGACTTGGACTTTTTCACTCAAGTAAATCCTTGAAACAATTCCATATTCTTGTAATTTATATTACGAATCCTATTTTTCAGCCAAAACTTCTTCAGCTTTTACTGCACTGACATAAGATGATGAAATCAAAGATGGCAGAAATATGTGAATTTTCTGTTTCATGAGCTTGCACTGAAAATCTCTGCCAGCAAACAAACTGTGAATCATAGCTTTTATGTCCTTACTCAGTTTCAGATTTCATGAACTCTCCCTCTGATCCTGAGAATTAACTTTCCTTCTATTTTCTTCCACTACCATATAAAAATGCACATACTGCAATATTAAATTCACTGGGGTAATTAATGAGGAAGTTCTTGCTGATGCTTGGATCAAAAGGAGCAAAGTCTGGTCTGTTAGCTTTATACAAAATCTCCAGAGGTTGTTAGTCCCTTCTGATCCTCAGCTAGAATTAATTAAGACTAAGTTTAGAAAAAAAGAAAAAGTTCCAAATTTTAACTGCATTCACATTTTGCAGGTACACTAAAATCAAGCAAATGCAAGCAGGCAAACGTGGATCCTACTTTGAAGAGTAGTGATATTAAAGAGGAATTCTAGCTGAGAGTTTTTCATCAGTGAAAGTTACAATCTGATAGGCAGACCATAGAATTAGTCTGAACACATAACCAAACTCCATGCCACGCAATGTGTCAGGTTAACTGCTGAGGACAGAGATTACACTGCAGTTTTACACGGCACACCAACACATCTGTAATACGAGGCAGTGAAGCAGTCCCACAAACCAATGAGACTACTCACCTACACACGAGCATTTTGCTGAGTGGAATCATCTAACCAAGTTTGTTCACAAACAAATCTTTCATTAGCAATCCCATAGTGCTGGGACAAGTGCTGTGTCCATAGTGAACCCATATAGGTTTTGATAATAGTAAAATGAAGCCTAAAATCTGCTCACTGCAATTGCACAGCATGTTTTGTGGATGACTCTTTTCATCCCTCAGCACTGCAGGTAAAATTTACAAGGCAGAGGAGCATTTCACAGAGGTTAAGTTCCCTGTTTCACTGTTGTCCTTTTAAAGTTATTATAATTCCATGTTTTCTAACACAACCTGTTGACTGTCATCTATCCCATGTTCCCTCCACTTCATGATTGTAAGCAGATATTTATACATGAAGTAGCCAGTACGTAACAATTTCTCTGCTAGTACAAGTGGTGAAGAAATCTCACTTACTTCCACTCTTAAGCAGGTGCTGTTCCTCTTCCTTCAGCCTGTTCTGCATAAGACGTAGCATATTTGTTGTTTCCTGTAAGAGGTAAAAACAACTGAATTAGAAAAGCTGCCGTTGCTCAGTCAAGTAGCTAATTGGATGTTCCCACAACAACAGTTACGAGCACTCACAGGTAGAATGAGAATAGAAAATTCCAGCATTTAAAATATTTTATGAAAATAAGGTCTTAATTGAAACATGGGAGCTCCTACTTACTTTGCCCAGGAGGGTCAGGATATAAAGCATATAACCAAGTAAAACAGTGCACTGAGAATCAGCCATACATTCCCACCAGCTGAAACCTCACTTACCACACTGAAAATGAGTTCATTTGTCTCCATCCCACAGAAAATTACTGCTGTTACAGAATGGAAGTGGCCTTCTTTGGAAAGCAGTCTTTGGTAGTTGTTTTCAACCAATATTCCATTAAACACCAGAAGTGGTTTGTGAAATGACTGCAGCTTCATAATACACAAACCAAACCAGAATAAATTCACATATTTCCAAGCACACAAACAAAATGGGAGCAAAAAGCCCTATCAATACTGGAGAAGTATAGCTATATACTATAATATTTGGGTGCAAAGGAGAACCACGACAGTAAGACTGGACAAGGTGGTTTGGTGATTTTCTTTTTTGAATATGGTTGTTAAATAAAAATGTGCCAAGAAACACTACTGGAATGACAGTATGATAAAGTTATGACAAATATGGTTCAGAGCAAATGGAAAAAGGTAAGTAGAACAGTGGTGGTTGTGCTGAGGAAGAAAAGCAAATCACAAGTCTCGACCCATTCAAATAAAGGCCAATGATATTAGAAAATGTTACAAAAAGGCCCATGAGGGCTTCTAAAACCTGTCTTGCACAGCCAGCTGAGGAAGAAATGTGACAGCCCAGAAGGCAAGAAGCAAGCTGATGGTAGCAGGGCAGTGGCAGTTAAGACAGACATTGTCATTCCAGCATAATGGACTAGCAAGAAAACATGGCTGGCTCTGTAGACAGTAACTGATGAGAGTAATTTTAATCTTCTAGAATGCGTGCACTTGCAGAACATCACAAAGCAGGTAGACTAAAGGGATTATTTGACTGCTGAATACCACAAAGCAATTGTAGGAGGTGTTTCACTGAGTTCATGAAGTTCTCTACCCAGTTAGGACTAAAATCTAGCAAAGATACCAAGAGACTGAATTTTAGGAGCCAAGGTTTACTACTCCAATAGCAGCATCAAACAAAAAAAAAGTATTTTTAATGACATCTAGTTTAAATTTGGGTAATGTTAACATGTCAGAGTAGGTAAAATACGAATGCATACAATCAGATTCAGATAGAATCTACAGTACTAAACAGATGACAAACAACTGATGGAAGGATTTAGCCACAAATCTTGCTCATTTTAGTCTCTTCAATTCCAGTAAAGCAAGATAAGTAGATGGGAAAGCTAATTAACTGTGGATTGAACTAAGATTTTTCTGAGTCTTTGATTTTTCCATGCAAAATATGCTTATAATTAAAAACACCAGTTGTTTTGACATGGTCAAATCTGCCCATTTACAATGGATTTGCAGAAACTGGGACTCGGAATATTCATGGGACAGAGGAAATAAAGTAAGAAAAGCATCTGAAAATGGTTGAACCTTTTTACACTTTCAAGTGGAAACGTGTATCAATACCTATGGCAATAGGGTGCTAGCTGAGAAGGGAAAATCTCCCACCAACCTCTAAGCAGCAGCAAACCACCAAGTCCCACCCAGCACACAAGGAAGATGCTGAAAACAGAGGCCTGAGGACTGGCTGGCACAATGCATCACAACTTGGCATAAACATCTATGTCTTGGGAGTTGAAATCCACACTGAAAAAGCTTGCAGAGAAGATGCTTACAGGCGGTAAGGGGAAGTGATATAAATCACCCATACCTGGTGAGAAACATAGCTCAGGCACTGAGCTACTCTCTCAAGGCCACGGAGGGAATAAATTCTGATCCAGAAATCTGCTTTGGACAGCCATGCAAATTGTCTGCCATACAACCTCTCCAGTACTAATAAAGACAGTGGCTCCATGGATGCTAGGAAGACTGCTAATGGTTGCTCGGGACTGTAGAAATAACACTGCTAAACTGAAGCAGGCATGACACCTTCCAGGGCTATAAAGCTCATGATGCAAAATCATACTGAATGAAACACTCCAACAGTAACTTCCAACAACATAAACTGTTGAAATCTCTGAAGTGATGGATATGTATTCTGCAGGGAGATGCTAATTCCATCTGCAAGAACAAGGAAGGAAAAGACACAAGCATATTTTTATAACTTGTTTCATGCAGATTCAGAACTTTTTAAATACCCTATTTAGGAAAGTACTCTATTAAATTCTTTCTGTAAGGAACAAATAAATGACAGTGAGGACAGAAGAGTGTGACCAAAGATTAAAGGAAAGGGGAGATGTAAGGCTGCTGAGGCTGGTGCAGTTATGGTAAGAGGGCCAACAAAGGTTATCTGGCTCCTCTCAGTCCATGCTGTTGTCCATGATACAAGTGACCTCCACATAGCAGCAACACATCTGCACACTGCACAGCTCAGTTCCACTCAGAAGGGTAACCACTGCAATGATTAACATTTTCCATCTCCTCCAGTGTTGACAAAGCCTTTTTAAAGACTGATGAAAGTCAAAATGAATGTGGACAGGAGGCAAAATTTTCAGAGGTTTCTAGCTACCAGAGTTTCCTTTGGTCTCTGTAGCACATGCCCATTTCAAGACCTCCCTCTGCAACAGTGGGTCTCGACATTTTCTGACTGAGCCTCACACCTGTTATCTTCTTCCCCTACCTCCTCCTCCCTATCTGGTTTCTCCCAGTCAGTCTTAAGATTTAAAGACAGTCAGAGATTTAAAGAAGTCTTGCCCCTGCCCCAGCAAACGTTTACAATACAGTCTCCCCACTGCTATGTCTTTGGGACAAAGGGAGTAAGTGAGGGGATCAATCAGCCAGCTGAATCTCAACCCTATGGCTGTTGCAGCCTACACCGTGCATATGGCAAAGAAAATCTACAGGGAGGAAAAAAGGAAGAATATTTCCCAATTGTCATGGGGACAAATTCATAAACCCAGACAACATTTCTAAAATGTTCACATACCAGTGAAATAATGGGTACAGATATAATCATTGCCTAGTACTGTAATTCCAGGGACATGGTAAGACAGCTGAAACTGGCAATTCAAATTCAGTCAAATAAGCAGTCACCCTGCACCGCTTGCTCCTTCCTTTTTATCACTCTTCTGCTCTGGTGCAAGCATTTGTGCAGTGACACAAAAGAAACCTGGTGAAAACTAATCCATCAAAACAACATTATGCGAGGCAAATTCTCCACTGCAGTTCAGCATGTGGTTACACAAATTCCTGACTGGCACAACAAAGGACGGGGTGTTGCAGTTGTGGGAAAAACAGCAGTGGTACGAAGATGAGACACGGTTTGTTTCAGCTTCAGTGCTGCTTTATGGAGTTAAAATACAAGAGAAATGAAGTCTAAGAAAAAGGTTTAACCATACAGATGAACTACTTCTCCCCCCCTTCCTTTATCCTCTTACTTGTGCTACTGACAGCAGCTCAGCTGACCTCAGAGTAAGCCAGCCCAGAGACTCAACTGGCAAGAATAATCTTCATTTTCTACTGGTTTGGATATCTGAACAGCTCAATGCACAGTCGGCCAAATGGGGCTGTCAGCCCAAAGGAGCTGCTGAGACTACATCATCCCTTTCCATAGCAGCCCATGACTCCATCAGTTGAGCTGTGCTGCCAGACTACACCCTGCAAAAGCTTATCAAAAACTGCAGCAACAAAAACTTGTTTCAAATGGGCAGCCCCAAACCAGTTGGAAACAGGATAGCCATCAGTTAAGTGCTGTTTATAGTCCTTAAGATCTTTAGTAAGATCTTTAAAGGAGGGGCCAGAAGTGATGGCAGATCATATATCTAGAAAGTAAACAAAATTTATCACACAATTTTTTGAAGTTACATACCGACTTAAAAGAATCTGCAGAGAAACCTTAGCTCCGTTAAATTAGTGAAAAAATTATTATAAGAGCTTCGTTGGTTTAAGATTTTGCGTTTAAAAAAATGTCAACTTCTAAACAGCTGAGTCAGTGGCAGTTTCAGCTTCTCTCTCTCCTGGTTACTTTTAATGACTGCAATCATTAGGCTGCATTTTTTGGCTTGACCTGCTTCCACCTTCACTGCAGACACCACTCCCCACACTACATCTTAACAGATGTCATTTATATCAGCTCCGTTAAAGCAAGGCCATGCTAATCAGAGGTGTTTTTCTCTTTCAGGCTGGCCACTTCTGTGTGACCCAGGGCTTCTGAAATGTGCCAAGCGAGAAAAGTGGAGGGTGTGACAACCGTCATGTGGATGCTCTTTCAACACACAATGTCGTACAATGGACTTTAATGAGACTAGCACTCCGCACAGGGCAAGTCACGTTTTCTGTGCGGAGTGGCAGAGTGACAGCCCCATAAAACAAGAGATGTGGCCTTGACCTTGTGAAGCACCCACAGGGAACGGCCTCAGTGCCCCAGGATGCTGTACGCACAGGAGTCAACATTTAAGCACCCTGTTCAGCCTCTCTAGTAAACAAACAAGACTGAAATGCTGCAGGCAAACACTGCACGTATCTTACTCTATAAGCAAACTGTACCCAAATTAAGTGGGAGCATACACCGTGGAATCACAGTGTCACATTAACGCAATTAAATTGCCAATTGACACAAAAGCAGAGCCAGCCTGCCCGGTCAGAGGGGGCTCCCTGGCCTTTCAGGACACCAGAGATTACTGAGGCTGAAAATCCTGCTTCAGAGGCAGACAGATCTCTGCTGAGATGGGACTTTTCCTCCCCTGTATCATACATTATGAAGCCTTTTCTAGGTGTAAATCTGCCATTCAACGACTATTCAAATCAATCACTTTCTAGACTCAGAGCATACAGCCTAGTGAAATAGGCAGCAAAGGCAGGATTTTGTTGCTAATGCTCAGACCCCCAGAACAA